GACCAAACAAAGGTTACTAAACAGGAGCTAGCATTTAGAGGCCTAAAGATATTTAACATAACACCATCTTTAAAACGACATTCATTCTACAAACCTTACAAAAGACAAAGACTTAGATCTGTTCACAGTATGTGTGTCTTGTAAACAGTAATGCACTGTAATGCAAATTTGAAAGGAAAAAAAACGGCAATTTCTTAGTGTTGCAGGGAAGATGACTGATGGTCTGCTAATGAAAGATCTGGTAAAAAAAAAAAATTTTTTTAATTTCACTAGGAACACTGAGGATTTTCAGATGGCTTACTTTACCTTTGAACATGCCTGTAAGTTCGTATCATTTTGGACTCAGAATCTTTCTATCCAGAACAACCTTTTCAAAGTAACTCTGAATAGAATGTCTTTTAGCAGTTGTGTCCTGGGGTAGCCCCTAACATCTACTCCACCACAAGGAGCTGAACAGGGTTTATTCTTGAACACTTCACCATGCTATTCATACTTTGTTAAAGAATACATTGGAAAGAAAAGTAAACAGAAGGGACTGGGTGCTTATAACTGACCAAATGGGAAGAAACCAGTGAAAGTGTTTGGATAAAACGAGGAGAGTGTCATCTGAAAACTACCCTTCTGCGTTTTGTTCTTGGACTACCTGCCAAAACACTAAGCTGCTCATGACCTAAGGAAGACAGGATTACTACCTAAAAATATTTTGATCTCGAAGGATATGCTACTGGATCTTGAAGTTCGTTCGGAAGTTCAAACTGCCCATTTAAAGTGGAATAATTAAAAATAAATGCACATGTAAGGAAATAGAATAAATTTAAGTAGGTAGCCAATTAGATGTACCAAATATTCTCGGCATAAGTACAGCAAAATGTCTAGAACAGCTGGATTTCTTTTCATGTTGATTATCTAATACAAAGGAAATCTTGAAGACCCATATGAATCAAATAATATTATTTTTCTTGTATTTTTTTTCTCAGTATGGTTTTTTTTTTTTTTTTGGTTTTCATTTTTTTAAAGTATTAGGTTCCAGCAACCAAAAATCGCACACTTGTTTAATGTGCGATCAGGTATGGTTTATTCATAATAAAAGTATGCCACGGTTAGAATTTAAGTTAAGCAAATTCTATTTACACCTTGGACAAAAATTGCCATTCATAATACAGGAGAACAAGCACTACTCTGGTTAAGGACAGCGGGATCCAGTCACAATCTCATATCATAATGAGAAGCATGTGGAAATTCTAGACCAAATGACAACCCCAGAAAGTCTAACCAGAGGGAAAACCGAACAAAACTTGGGATTGCTCAGCTAAACACTGCTTCCAATCATTTCTGCCTGCATTTAGAAATCACTCATCTGTATTATACTCAGCATGGATATGATCATGCAATTATTAAGATAAAAGGACTAATCGAAAGGGAATAAAAATCTAACAACCCTAGTAAACAAAGAGGCTTAAACTATGAATAGCACTGGACAGGATCCATGATTCAAGCTAAATAAATTTGCAGGATATTCTAGGGTTATAGCTAAAAGATTAATGCCCTGTAAGCTTGGCCACAAGTTTTTAGGCCCATCCCCACCCCCACTTCTGTAATTTTTTTTGTTCTGGACACAGACGTAAGACAGGTATGACAGCAGAAAATATCAGTTCAAAGGAAATGTCTTGAAATATCTTATAAAGACAATGAGTTCTTCTATTGATCAACTAGGCTCACACACGTCACTTGCCATTACATACACCAGGTTGGTACAGATGCATCTCCAAACTGAGTCCTGATTAGATAAAAAGCAAACAACTCTGCAGTTAAAAGTGTGCTGACGGCGTCTAGTGAAAGATCTGATGAGTCTTCACGGTTTCACCTCACACTGTGGGGCTGTTTCCACAGTGTATCCAAACCTTTCAGTCATTTCTGATCTATGCGAGTCACATCTTAGTCTCAACCCTCCTTCAAGACAGTCCTGCCTAATCTGTCACACCCTAGAAAGGAACTCCATCAATACAGCCACTGACCTCTCACTGTGAGCCTGGCCTTAGCAGCTAATGGCCCTTCCCCCACACTTCACTTGAGATGCCAAGTACTGCACGTTCGGGGATCCTTTTTAAAAAGGCCATTTCACTCATTTCAACACAGTTTCAAACAGGAAACAGCAGAAATTACCTTAGTGCAAACACAACAAGTTTTATCAGAGTTAGTGCCTAAGCAGTAAGAGACTTTGAGATAATACTTTCTGCATATTGACATATTAAGGGGTACTTCAACTGCAAAGTACCATGACACTGACTTCAAATTTCTTTCGGGAGGAAACGTTCTCTAGCCTTTCACTAAATTAAGTTTATTGAGCACAGAAAGGGCTGTGCTATCTGATAAATACAGACAGGATTACTGTGACAGGAGAGATTTCTAACAAGAGTTGAGTTTGCAAGGACTTCTAAAACTGTGGCTTCCTACTGTCCTGTCCGCGTGCGATACTGCTGGGTGTTCAGAATGCAATCCTTCCAGTTCCCTGAACCATGAAAGCAAGGCTAATGTCAAAACCCGAGGCAGACAGTTCCTCCCTTGAGCCTCCCAATGAATGGCGACTTCTGTTGCCAGCTGCAGGAACAAAAGCACCTCTATCACCCAGCTCCGAAACACAACCCGACTTTCCAGATATGCAGAGCTGCCGGCTCAAGTCTGGGACACTACAGGTTCAACCAATGGGAAGATTTCAGAAGGTACACGTGTGCTAATTAATGTAGCATAAAACTCACTAAGCCTAGTTAGGTATTTAAGAAGGTTCTTTTAAATTAAATATTATTTAAAATGGCCACTTATAAGACCTATGATACCTTCAGTCTCCTTTTCTCAAAAGGGAAGTCTGAATGAAACTGGCTTACAAAAGGGTGGTAACATGTGTATGTGGTTCTGGTCAACAGATAGAAAGGAACCTAATTCTGGTTGAGATATCTGTAGTTGTCTGGCCAATGACTGGGTTCTCTCCTTTTCCTAAGGGCTGGGCACACATGTAGCCTCCCCTGTCACAGCTACCCTGAGTTCAGAGTATATGCACCATGAGGCTATCTTGTATAGAGGGATACAAATGACCCTTGCACTGACACTACAGCACACACTAAAGTCCCAAACCATGAGACAGGTAGTCAGGGCATGCCAATAGTGTTCTTCTTCTCCCCATCCTCTTCCTGTTTAGGCTACTCCTATATGCACACTGAGGGGACACTGCAGAGGTAGTAACACTGCCCTGGGATGCAGCTATATTCAACTCAATGGGGAAAGACTAAATAAAAGCTGCCTTGGCCTTAGCCCTAAGTCACATTCTCTTACACTAATCCAGGGCTGCCCTGCTTCTCCATAGCCCAGTGGTCCTTGAGAATGGACTTCAGAGGCAGGGTGGGATAAGCAGCATTCTAAACTTCCAACACCCATGGTCAAACGGACATCCTTTGGACAGGATGAGTCCATTTCTTCTTACCTTTCCCTCTGTTCCCAAATTGATGCAGTTCAGAATGATAAGCTATAACCTTCACAGACACTCATCCCGATTAGATGGGAATATGAAACTGGTAAGCTTCACTGGGGAACAAGGCCCGAGCTGAGGGCAAACAGAGCACAGCAGTAACAAGATGTGGCAGGGGATGGGGAAGGGGGTAACGGTGGGGGAGGGGCGAGGAGGTGCCAGGGCTCAGAGTGGCTGGGTGGAGGGTGGGGCAAAGATGGCACAAGACAAGACTCTTCGGTGATTTGGTTCTGGTTTAGAATATTTTTCAGGAATGAAAATTTCTAAGAGCTACCATCTACCTTTTACGTACTATACAATTGCATGACTAATGGTATTTCATTCCACATATCATTATATCAGGAAGTTCCAAAATGTAGTTGAATCCTAGGGTTAAAAACAGGATCATGATTTTTGTCCCTTGACATCCTGTATATATATTTTTCCATATGATTCTTTCAAAGATAAAATAAGAGGCCAGGCATGGTGGCACGTACACCTGCACTTGGGAGACAGAGACAGGTGGGATGTCTGAGTCTGAGGCCAGCCTCATCTACACACTGAGTTCCAGGATAGCCACGGCTATATAATGAGTCCCTGTCTCAAACAAAATAAAAAATAAAAAGATAAAATGTGAACTAAAAGAACAATCCATTATCTGCAAAATTTGGGGGACTTCAGGTGACACAAACAAAGGTCTTTCTCCTCAGCTGTTTCTAACTGTCATGTACTTTGGCAACCCAAAAGCAGAGCAAATACATGACATTCATTTTAGGTTTTTACTGCTTTTCTAAGAATCGCATTCGCTGTACACGTTGCTGATGAGAAACCAGGGTGGATTGAGGGTCCTGTACTCAGGACCTGCCTCGTCAATGCTGACAGAACAATCAATCACAGGCCACTAGCTACCAATTCCATAAGACTTATGGTCTCTAGTACAAAATCACTAACTGCTCCAGGGGGAAGTTATCTCCCTTTAAGTTTACAGATTTGAAGGCAGGATCTGAGACTCTGGACCCCCAACTGCCTGAGGCAGGAGGAGCTACACGACTCATGAGCGGTAGAAAAAGCTACTGAGAAGCCTCAGAGATCACCCCAGCTCTTGGTTAGGCTAAATGGCCTATCCTCTCAGGGGGAACTGAGCCCAATCTGAGCTATGCAGTCAGCACACACCATTAGCTATTTCTTAGTAGTCATCTTATGTAGTAACTCATTGCAATCATATACCTGTAAATAATGATGAATTTCCTCTTACGAAGCAGGCCCTGTAACACAACACAAAGCCAATAGAGAAAATCTGGATATAGTTCTAGCGATTTCCAACAACAGGGCAAGCAACTGTACTAATGGAAGCTATCATGCAAGCGGCGAGACAGGAGAAAGGTTTTCACACCCCGAGATAGCAGGACGGTGTGATGCTGATCCGGGCTGGTCAGTGTCACACTTGTTTTTCCAAGTTTCTACCCCTGAGACAACTGTTTGATAACCATTATACGGTAGGCACAGAAATCAGCACACTTTATCAGACAGAACGCCAGATAGCTCCTGCTACATTAAAAACTAGATGCGCTTCTGTAAATGCTGTGGACAGAGACATCATAAAGGCTTTAAAGTCTGTGCTTGGTTTTCCTCTAGACCGCAGTAAATGTCAGGCAAATTAACGTTGTTTTGACTTGGACGGTTTTCTCCTTTGCCTGTAAATCCACTTGCAATTCCATACCATACAGAGATGAGAAAACCATTAACAACAGAAAAGAGTTGTGAGATTTGTTTAGCATGTATGTACGAGACAGAGTTAGTCAGTCTTGAGATCCTTCGGGAGGATTCTTTGGCTCAATCAAAAACAGCTTCAAATCTTGAGTTTCTGTGGCTGAGGGCTGAGTCACCGCACTCTGGCTTTTAGGATACATTAAAAGCACATTAACACTTCTAGTGTCACTTACCCAGAGTGAAGGTCCCTGGCTATCAACATTTGCAGGGTCCCTCCAGAAATGCCCCGGCTGCCGCCATGACAGCGGCAGGGAGGGGTTTACTGAGATGGCAGACTGAAGTGGCAAAGGGTGACCTGGTTAGTCATTTGGTTTGTTCTGGAAGAAGTTTGTAAAGGACCATCCTCCTCCATTAGATTTAGGAGAGTCTTCATCTTTAGGAGGGATCAAAAATTGCCTGGAATTGATGGAGCACGGACTTCCAAAGGAGACAACTTCACTGTTGCTGTCTGCGGACCTTGGGGAATCTGGAGAGACCAGATTCCAAGTATTTACATTGGCCTGAGGTCTGTAACCTGCAGTCTTACCCGCTTCATCTTCTGCTGTCGTGTCTTCCACAGCGGGGTTAATGGGGAGGCGCATCTGTGGCTTATAGCCTGCCAGCGCCACGGGGTCAGCGTCCTGTTCTTCCTCTGGTTTGGCTTGTGGCTGATACATGGATTGCACATCTATGTAGATGACCTGGGAAGCCGCTCCCGCCTCATCCGCTGTGGGGTTCGTTACTTCCTCCTCGATGATCGGTGGGCAGTAAGACACAACCACGGGGTTCTCGGGGTCTGCCTCGGAGCTTTCCCTGGGACGCTCCGCAACTGGGGAAATGATTTCTGTATCTTCTATTTTAGGGACTATTGATCGAGATTCCAGGACTTCGACGTTATTTGGGGTACAGGGATTCATTTCCAGTGTCTTAAGAGCATTGCTTCCCTGGAAGTAAATTTGGAACAGTGGTTAAGACAGCGCTGCATGCTCCTGTGTGGCCCCTCTTACAGAAAAACTCATAATTTTTTTTTCACATCTGTTTATAAACATTTGCCTCTGCAGCTCTGGAGTTCACATCCAGAGCAAAGCTACTTTTTTTTTCCTCTGCGTCAATATTTTGCTTCCTATTAATAGCAGCGAAAGAAGTATGGTGTGAACGCTGAAGACGAAGACCCCTGGACATCAGACAGAGTTAAGCATGCATGTTCTCTTTTCCATGCTGACACCCATACCTCCCAAGCTTCTCCCTAGAAACAGAGGGAGGAGTCCCTTTGTCCTCACAGACAAACACAGAGAAGGATGGATTACCTCACAGACACTCTTCTGAAACTGTAACGCTTTACAGTTTTCTGGATTGGGAATATCAGGGTAGAATGTTTCCTTAATCCTTCAAATAAAGAATAAATTATATTCAATAACTATCATGTATCGATCATGTAACAAAATGTAGGAATTATCTAGCTTGGCTGGAGACTTTTTTGTGACAATGTCAATGAGTACCTGAGACACAAACAGAAGCTCTTCATGCTAGAGCTGCTGACACAGGGCTTCGGCATGAACGCTGTGAACCACCCCTCTATGCTCTAGCTAGAAGGCTTTATTTGGCTCAAGGAAATGAAAGTAAATAATTTACAGTGATGGCTACATTCATCTCTCACATGAAGTATAGGCAAGTTTTCACCACGAACCGGATTAAACAGGTTCAGTTACTCAAAGGGCCTGTCTGCATATGCAGTCCTCTGGTCATCACAGAGTCTGGCCCGCACAAGGGACACCTCCAGTGCATGCAAGTGCTCTACCAAGGTGGGCAAATACATGAGCGTTCACATTAAAACAATCCATTCTACTTCTATGTGTGTACACATGTGCACGCATGTGTGTGTCTGCGCCAACGGGAGCGAGTGCTTTTTTTGTTGGTTTTTCTTTGGAGGTAGATACTTGCTATGGTAGCCTAGGCTGCCCTTAAACTTATGACACTCCCCCTGCCTCAGCCTCCAAGTGCTGGAATTGAAGTCAAGAGTCACCATATCAGGTTAAAAAATAACAGAAAGCTTTAAAGTTGACAGCCATGAGTGGTAAGGAAACTGCTTGCTGAGTTGAAGAAAAAAAAAAAGCTACAATCTGAGATAGAAATTCAACATCAGCGAAAAGACTCACTCAACACTGTATTTTTATACTTAGGAGTACTAAGGACTCTATTGTTTGGATTCCTCAAGGATGGTAACTGTGTTGACATGAGTCTGAATGTTCTGGCTTCCAGGCCTCCTTTTTTTTTAATTTTTTTATTTTTTATTCTTGTATTGAAATAGTTATTTTAAAGTTGGAATTAGTTGCCAAAATAGGTTCTTCTATTTGCGAGTATTACTATTTTCATTTAGAGGTCAGGGTTGTTCAGAACATACTCTCTTCTGTCACAAATGATGGCATTTTAAAGAAAGTGGAGCCCTTCCTGTGATGACTGCAGCTGTTTGTCCTGTCCTAGTCAGGTCAGTACCTGGCAGTCACCCGGAGCCCACTGCTCTCCTCTGAACCCCTGTCCACTTTAGCCTCACATCTCTCTCTCCTTCCTCTCCCTCTCCCTCTCTCTTTGTCCAATTATACAGTGCCTAATGTTTCAGAGTCTTCCTGAAACCACTCTCTTTAGAATGTTCTCCAGCCCCCAACCCGTGACCCTTCAGGGCTCTCCACAGGGCAGCCTTCCTGCTTACCTCTTCCTTCCCTGGCCCCCTGTTCCTCTCACACACTGTAAGCACATGTTTACAATGTTCATGCTTCCCTGGCCCTCTCTCTCACCCTGCTGGGAGACTCTTAAGAACCAGGCTTGCTTTATTCACAACTATAACCCTTTCTCATGGAAGGGGCATGCACTTGGGATAAACAAATGAACAAAAAGAACCGAATGGCCCGTCAGGACCCATTTAAATCATTAACTTCCACTTAAACTTGCAGATAGCCGTGGTCAACTTATGTGTGAAAATATATTTGAAGCCACTATGTCATTGTGATAAATTACTAGTAAAGAGAGTAGGGAGAATGAACACTTTAACTCTTTGAGCTCTTAAACAGTTTTAATAAAGTGTCATCTGCTTACTTGAAATTCAAGGTCAACATTCTAAGTAAAAAAAAAAAATGTTTGTTCAATTTGCACAACATGACTGCACAATGAAGCTTGTGAAAACAAAACAGGGTGAATACACACACAGGCATCATTACCATTCTCGCTTCCGATAGCAAAGGATGCTTGTCACCACGCCAACAATGACAGCCACGGCCACTGGGATGAGGATGGCGATAATCAATCCCACAGCTGAAATGAAACCGTTATCAATATTGAGAATTGCCACCGTAAGTACTGAGTACAGAGGACATTTATTATTTTGAAGAGACAAAACTCTGACTGATCTAGGGTGCACTGAAAAATAGATCATGATTACTCAATCCTGCCACTGGTGACCTGTCGGCCAGCTGTTTCTGGTGTGAGGCGGCGTGGGAAGGGCTATCCTGTGCGCTCTGAGAGGCTTAGCCACATCCTGGTCTCTAACCATGCGATGCCAGTAGCACTCCAGTTACGACAGTCAGAAATACCACCAGACATTGGCAAGGTGTCTTCGATGGGGTAAAATCATGTCCTTTTGGAACACTGTTTTAATGCATCATGGCCTCATGGCCCTATGCTCCAGACCTGGACACGGACTCCATCCTGGTGGAGGGGAAGCCTGAAGCCAAATGAAGGACAGCAAAGGCTACCACCCTTGTCTACTGCCATCTCAGAGTTACAAGTGTGGTGCCTTACTGAAGTTTAGAGTGTCTATTAAGTATTTCCCTAGACCTATTAAGATCAAACTAGCATGATTTAAACCTGATTTAAAAAAAAACAAACCCGACTATGCATTTTGGATTGTAGAATTTGGGTGCATCCCCAAATTAGTTAATTTCTTACATACACATAGGAAAGCAGCTTGAAATAATTGACAACAAAAACAAAACCAAAAACATCCTCTCATAGCCTTTAACACTCGGCTCTTCCTGACATCAAAAAGCAATGAACTATTAAACTTCAGAATAGTGGTTCTCAACCTGTGGCCCTCCACCCATTTGGCCAACTTCTGTCTCCAAAAGTATTAACAATACAATTCACAACAGTAGCAAAATTACAGTTATGAAGTAGCAATGAAAATGATTTTGTGGTTGGGGGTCACCACAACATGAAGAACTATATTAAAGGGGTGAAGTATTGGGAAGGTTGAGAACCACGGGGACCATCTTGGAACAAAGATGCCTGCAGATTCCCCAGATAATAAGGACATTATCACGTCAGTGGCAAAGGTGTCTCTAGGGCAGTGTTGAACTTACAGTTTTCCTTGGTCACCACAAACATGCTCTTCTCTGGGCCCAGCCCACCGTGTGTATAGGCTCGCAGGACCAGATGGTAACTGGTTTTACCCTGAAGATCGGCAATCCTCAGTGTCTTCTGGGATATGTCAGTGATATTCTTTAGCTTGATGTCAGAACGATCTAAAAATCAAAGGATATTCTCACTCACCCTAAGGTCACTTTAAACTCAGGGATGTACAGCCAAACACTCTTAGGAAAAACATTTTGCTGCTGGCCACACCTTGCCAAAGATCTGGGGCCACATTCAAGTTTTTTCTCTGCCAGTCAAACCATCTAAACTACTCTAAACTCTGGCTTCTCTGACTCTGCAAGGGGACAGCATGGCTTGGTTCCTGGTGTCCTGTAAAATTTTCATGTATATTTGTTAGAACCATGCCTGGCATACAGCAGGCACTCCATAAAAATCACTTTCCTGTCTGTGACTAAGGAAAAACCCTGAAACTCAGAGGCACTCAAAAGAGACCCTGCGGAAGCAGTGGCAGAGGCCAGACGGGGCAAAGGTGCAGCACAGTAGACACGGCCTCAGTCCTTACGGAAGGACCCACGTGGTGGGCAATCTCAAACAAGGCACACGGAGGACAAGGTGTCTTTGGGTCACTTTGAACGTAAGGGTGAAGACCGTTTAACTGTTTTATTCATAAAAGTCTTGATCAATATAAAGCAAGATGAGAGTTTAAAGAGCCAAGCCATGTATGGAAACAACCACTCCACAGCCCCACCCTCTCCCGCTGCCTCCCAATGGGGGCTGCTTCTCCAGCTGCTAGCCCGTGCCATCCCTCTCAACTGGCCCCGCCCCTGGCCCCGCCCCCAGCCCAGCTCCTTTCTGGCTGTTCCCACTTCTTTCCCACAGTGTGAGGCCTTCTTCTAACAGAGTCCAGAAAAAGGCAGTGGAGAGGAAGAAAACACTTGCAGCCTTGCACGCCTAGGAAAGTCTTCATTCTATTCTGGTACTGAGCTCCAGAGTACCGGGGTGCAGAACTTTACACTGAGGATAACAGCATTTTAGAGACATTTCTGTGGTTTCTGTCAGTTATCTGCTGACAGGGAAGTCTGCCGCCATTTTGATTCTAGGTTATAATTGGGGCTCTGAACCTTTTATTTATTTTTTGGCATTTTCTCGCCTCTTTAGTTATTAAATATTAAGCCATTTAAAATGAACAATATCTTATGGTGTGTGGATCATGAAACACTAGTAAGAAGTGGCCACCATTCTGTGGGCCTTATGAGGAAAGGATTCAAAATAAGCGATTTTAACTTTTAAAGAACGTACATTCTATCTATTGTATTCTCTTTGAGATAGTCGTGGAAACTGTGTCCAGCTGTGTGGCAGCCCTTTCTTTCCTGCATGGACAGTGGGAGTCTTTTTTTTTTTTCTTTATACAGCACAAGAACCGGAGCAGTCATTTACTTACCTGTCTCCAAGCTCCTCGTCTTGGTCTTAGGTGTATCTCTCTCTCCTTTCTGCAAGTAAAATAAATACCCTCTTAAGAAGCCCCGGAGCTCTTCCACGGGGATGTCGTCCCATTTTACTAATATGGAATCCGCAGACGTATCTTCCACGGTAAAATTTGGTGCAACAATTGGAGCTGTCAAAACAAGCAGTCGATTGCTGAAGGCAGGGGAGTAACCGCTCATGAGACTTCTGGCTTCAGCAACAACTAATCTTAGAATTAAAGTGCACTCTTTACTCAAGCATGAACTCCTCTGATGGTTAAACAATACTTCTATACTAATAACCAGGTGGGGCTCAGAGAAGACCCACAGCCTTTACACAAAGCAAGCATCCAGGGGATAGCCTGTGCCACATCTCTTTAAGCGACTGCTCAAACAGACTTCAGGAAAACTCCCCTCTTTGCTGTTAGTCCTGGATACATTTCCAAGTTTTTAAGCTTCTGTCACACAAATCAAGTATGACAGCCATGATATAACTTTCTCAGTGTCAAGACTGAAACTGTGACATCGACAAGCAGGTGGGGAATATGTGATTAAACATGTTGATAAATTTGGGATAGGAATTATTTTATCTTTTTTGATCTAAACAACTAAATCCAGTATGTTTTTGGAGAGCAACTCTTGCTACTTGCCTATTTACAAGTTCTCATGCTGGCCAAACTTTACAAGAACTCACCCACTTAACTTACCTAATTCTTCTATATATCCAATTATAGAACGTAACAGTTGGTATCCCTGGTTAGTGCACCCATAGAGGTAAAAGTTATACCTTACTCCTGGCTGAAACTGATCTGTAGGATAAACAAAGCAGTGAACCATCATAAGTCCATGTGGGTAAGCAAGAATATTGATCTTATCTTAGAATCATAACATTTATAGCACGCTAAAATTTCCAAAGCTAACTACAGATCTATTATAAAATTTTTTTTTCAAAATTGGTAAACATTTAGGAGTATTAAGCAAACCATGAAGACCTTCACGTCCATAATAATGAAAAGATCTCAGGATGACATTTTTTTTTTGAAGAGACAAAGGTGGCTGAGGCTGACATCTTCTTGCCTCTCAGGTACCACCATCCAGTGAGCTCAGTGTGCTATGGTATGGTCCCTGTGTGCTAACAAATGCTTTCCCTCTCCTATGTATCACCAGTTTTGGGTTGGAAAGAGATGACGTTTCCCCTTGTCCCGGCACTAGAAACCCCTATTCAGCTTGAAGCTTTAGGGACAAAGGAACCAGCCTTCAGCATTTGTTTCCCTTTGTAACACTCACTGAGCAAGGGACACACAAGACAAGTCTCAAGGTTTTTAAATTACTTTTTTAGGTTGACACGAAAAATGGTGAGTTTCATCATGACATCTTCACACAGATGTCCTTACACTCTGGTCCTTTGTGTGCTCCTCTCCCTCCCCCCCACACACTTCTAGTCGGGTTTCTTTCTTCAACTCGTGAAGCATCTTTTAATGTCTCATCAAATATGTAAGACAAGACATGAGAAACACAGAGACGTACAAAGCCCTTCTCAACACAGAGAAGCTGGCCAAGCGTGGGGAAGACACGGGGCAAGAGTAACCAGGAATCTCATGTAGGAAGTGCAAGATCTTAGGAGAAACACTAATCAATTCTGAGATCAGAAAAAAACCCTCTTTGAAGAGGACTGTGAAAAGTAGGGGACTCATCTTATAGGAGGACAAGGCCTTCATAAGGTCCTAACAGTGCAGGAGGTAGCCATTTCTGGGTGGAACATATTCCAGTGTGGCTCGTACAGTGCTTCTTTAAGCCACACGCCCAGAGAACACCTGCACCCCAGAGGCCAAAGTGAGATGGGCAGCCTCAAAAGTCACGTGACCTATAAGCCCAGGAGGGAAAGCAGAGACCACAGGCTCAGGCTCAGTCAAGTCAGTCTCACAGGAGAGGACTCGAGGGCAGGTTTAGGGAAGAGGAGGATGGAGGTGGCCAGAGGAGAAAGGAAGCCCCTGAGAGGACCACCACCTCTTTAGTCAACTGCCGAAGTGCTCTAGCAGAGCGGAAAGACAGCTCAACTCATCTGTGGCTCATCACCAAGTGCAATCCTTTACTCTTCAACAGTGGAAACAGCGAATGACCAGAACCTGTCTTAAGAGAGGGAAGCAACTGGGGGCCCTTTACCCTCCAGCTTCCTTCACCAACACAGAAGGAAGAACCAGTAGCTGATGTCTCTAGAAGTATCGAAACCTTCAGGCCCACTACTGGCTCAAGAAAAACCCCAAAGGTGTAGGCTCACATTGGTTCAGCAGGAGGCATGGCAGCCCTGCAGGGAGGGAAGCAGCCACTTCCAAAGGAGAAGCAGGGTTGGTCTGAAGGATGCAAGCCTCGCTGGACGCCACTTCTCAGGAAGCACCTGTCAATGGTGGCTCACATGCCGAGGCTCACAGGCTCACCAGCAGACACGTGCTCGATCTCAAAGCTGAAGCCATCCCATGCTCACTTCCAGAGTTACCCTGTGTCCTCATCTAGGAAAGTGGTGGTGGTTGCTTTGAGGCCTCAAGGACCAGAGTCCTGGACAAACTAATGCAAAGGGATACTAACTTTACTGTCTCTGTTGTTCAGAAGTGTGTTCCTGAACAGTTTCATCTTTGACATAACTTTCACTCCTACTGAAGTCCATTTTATCAATATACCATCACTTACACATCCCCTTGCCTGGTGCTTATCAATCTTCAGAGAACAAGCAAAGCTAGCGCGAGCATTTTCAGAGCTGGGTGTGGGGAAGCACACCTTTCATTTCCACAGAAAAAAGCAGCCAGATCTCAGAGTTTGGGGTCCTACCTCAAACAACAACAACAACCCCCACAATTACTCATGCTGTTCTCTCTGATGACCTATCAGAGTGGATTTCTGGACAAGGAATGCCCAGTTCTAAGGGTCAGAGTCTTTTCCACACACATGTCACAGTTATATCAAATTAAATTAAAGCAGGCCACGCCTGCCATGGCACGTAGTCACATCTGTGTGGCTTTTCAAAAGCCCCCTTAAAGGCCTCAGAGAGCCACGGATTCTTACCAGACTCTATGACAGTCTCAGTGCTGTTTGAGGGAACCTTTATCCAGTCCAGGAGGCAGGGCTCAGACCGAGACGAGTTGCACCATTTAATTACATAGTCACAAGTCATGTTGGGGTTGTGATGCCAGGTGAGGAAGATCCTGTTTCCTACCCCAACCGCTTGCTCTACGGTGATGTCATCTTCAGCAAGAAAAGAAAAGATGCTTTATTGGCAATCAAAGCAATACCAGAAGGCAATCCTCAAGAAAATGGGCAGTAGTTATAGAAGTTATTTCACTGTACACAAATGTTAAAACAGTGGTTACACTAGGTAGCAATGTTTAACAACGAAGTAACACAGTTACTCTCTTACTGGGATAACTATAGTGTTTGTTTACCTCAGAAAATAAATCACAAATCTGAGGAGAAAATATAGAAGCTTCTAGAATCCAGTAGACACATAGTGGGGGTCTAGACTGGCTCTGGGATGAGAACCCAGAAAATTTGGGATGGTCATGTGGAGAGAAGAATGCAGGAGGCTGAGGAAGGACCAGGGGACAACTAACTCCTGCTCTCCCCATCCAAGGTGAGCAGAGCTCATGGGAAAGGGAGAGGCACAGCACATGCAGATGGAGCATCCAAAACTGGAAGAGCCGAGCATCTGCTTTCCAGGACTCCTGCATCCAGGGTCCAAACGCTGGACTGAGGGGACTCTCTAGGGGCGATACAGAGAATGCAGAACTGCAAAGACATGAGGTGAGATGAGCAGTGTAGGCAGAGGCATTTTCCAGAAACCATGAGATACTGGGTTTGGTGTTGGGGTTGAGGTGCACACACTGGAGAGTGAGAGCAGGCACTGCTTGGCTGTGGGAGGTTCACTTGTCTGTTCTGCTGGACCTGGGTCTAAGGGATAGGTGACGATGGAGGTGAGGTATGGGGACCAGAGTGGAAGGCAGCCCAGCATGGCCAAGAAAGACAGGGGAGTCTCCCACGGGGACAGGAGAGAAGAATGACCTCTTCAATTAATCTATACTTAAGGGTTTGGTTTTTAAAAGGGGGAAAAACCCCAGCCATATACAGGAGAGATTTCCAAATGGATGTGTGTTTACAACGCAGCTGCTCCTGAACACAATCCGAGCACCTGTTGGACGTAAGACAGCTTTTTTGGCTCAATGTGATTACAAAGCCACAATTTCAACTTGAGCTGAAGCTCTGGGATGACGAGTCGAGGGCCTGGTGTCACTGTAGAGCTGAAATCACAGTTCGAGCTATGAATCACCAGGGCCACTCAGAGCAGGTAGCATGGGAGTGCTCTAGTTAAAGAGAAGACAAAACAGCTGCAGTCTGCAGAAGCACCGGGTACAGATGAGGGGCCATTAGATGCCCTGCTCTGACCCCTGCTTGCCTGCACTGCCACTCCCTCCGATGCCTCGGTTTAGGGCTGTGCCTAGGTCTGAGCATATCCAGTCTTTGAAACAACTCTGCTAAGTTCCGTTCCTGCCTCTTAATTCTCTGTTGTCACTGCCTAGGATGGACAAACAAACCAGGTCAGTAACAAGAAATAAGAAACCACCTCTCTCAAAGTACTGAGAGAGACACTCGGGAGACCTAACCAGACTTTTCCTTTCTGTCAGAGTGCTCTTGAAAAAGGTTCTTTCCATACTGAGGAAGCAACTGGAAAAAGAGAAGGAAATGGCCGTTTAAAACTTCTGACTAAGCATGCGATCCAGCTATAAGGGACAGGGAAAGGCTAGCAGCTGGGAGTGGGGATAAATGAAGGTCATCCGAGGATAAAGATGACCAAGTATGTTATGTATGTCTGTCTTAAACTATCCAGTTCAAATGCACTAGTTTGTGCAATCAATATAGACTAATAAAGTTCATATAAAAGCCGAGAAGGAACGTGGTATGCCATTGGCTGGCAATCTGCACAATTCAGAGGAAAACACAGAAATTTTCATATTACATCATGTGGATTTTTGTTTTTCAAAACCCTTATTAAAAATCTAATTTAGCTTTTAGAATGGCTTTTTTTTTTTTAATTAATGAAGAATTTCTGTGCAGGGTTTGGAGGCCGGAAAATCAGGAGTTCATGGTCAGCCTTAGCTACATAGAAAGTTCCAGGCCAACTTGGACTATATAAGACCTTATCTAAAAATCAAAACAAAACAAACCTCCCCCAAACCAAAACACACACAGAGGAAAAAAAAGTATCAATTCACCACAAAGCTGCCAATTATAACAAGTGTCTTCTTTCCCTGCCCAATAGGCTGGAAAGCTAGACTAACAACCAAAAGTCTTACTCTTGAAAAGAAACTTCTAGTCTTTGACCAAACATTTAAGGATTTCTTCCTAAGAGTACTGTCCACACTTAAAATATTTTATTCTCTTTGACAAAGAAATTGGATACAGTAATTTTTACCTAATACACAATATAGGCTTCAAATCAATCCTGAGGACATCTGGGAGGCTGAGGCAGGAGACTGCCTGTTCAAGTCTGGCATGATTATCTAATGTATTCAACGCTAGCTTGAATCACATAGCAAAATCTTGTCTCAAAACAAAATAAAAAATACTACTGGCTGCATCTCTCATTGGGCAGCAGACATTCAAGTACTTGGTCCTCTATTTGTATAACATGTAAAATATATGCACAATATGCAAATCGTGCAGGAGGGGCAGGATACTCCTCCCATCAGGAAAGCTGCTACCACAGAGTTTCCATTTCCCTGCTCCTGAAGGTTCTCCCAAGCACTCACCATTTGGGATTTCCATACTAGCTATTTTCGAAGGTGGTGATGAGCCAGCAGAATTTCTTGCCACCACACTGATGATGTAGTCATTTTTATTAAGCTGTATCTCTGCTCTGTGCTGTGGATCAAGGATCTCAGTAAGGGACTGTGTCTCCTCGTTTGATGAACACGATACATTGTAGGAAAGTATTTTTCCATTCGCTTCATTAATGGGTAAAGGCTATGAAAAATAGAGAAGCAAATTCTGTCACTAAAACCTGAGAAAAGTTTTGAGGCCCAGGGCTAAGTTCACAATAAATGGTGACAGGAGAATATGAAGCCATCAGTCGTGTGAAACTTTTGATTTTAAAATCCCGCGACAAGGTTAAACCAAAATGGAATGAGATACTGAAAAAGAACTATGCTTAAAAGTACACAAAATTTTAAAAAGTAATGTAAAACAATGTTTATTTTTATAGTTCTAGAAGCAAAAATGTAAGACACGTGGCCTGAAGGAGGAGTCTATCGAAACAAAGTTGTGTATGGGGTTCTCACATACGTATTCTTTTCTCCTCCTACATACCACGTGACCATTACAGAAGCACTAGGAAATACACAAAAATTCAAAGAAGGGCTGGCAAGAGGCTCAGTAGGTAAGGGTGCTTGTTCCCAAGCCTGAGGACTTAAGTTCAATCCCTAGGCCCCACAAGATACAAGAACCAATTCTGTCACTTTCCGAACTACACACACACACACACACACACACACACACTCATAAGATCAGAGTAAAGTGTTCAAAACTGAGGCCAGACGGTCTCTCAGTGCCTGGGGAATCAGGAGTGATGGAAACGTGAGGTTGGGAGACGGCAAACTCAGCCAGTCGGGGAAGCCTTGGCTCCTCAGATACAGCTCTGTGGCGCTGTATTTCATGTAGCGTTTATCAGTACAGCCGACTAAGCAAGTAAAATCTGAAATCCTCACCAAATCCAAGTTACGGCTCATATGTTAAGCACTTGGGCAAAATAAAAATCTTTACGCATCCAAGGAAACAATAGGTATTTACCTTCCAGTAGATGATTAAGTTTTTCCCATCGGAACTCCACTCTCTCCAGGTATCTGGTCCCTTTGAAGGAGCTGGGAAACAGATTCCTAAGTTAGACTTTAGATGCGAACTGCAAGGCAGGGGGCAGTATCGGTGACTAAAACGGAGGTACTTGAAACTTTACTCCAGGGTATCTGCAATTCCCCATAAAAGGTAGCTTCCATTTAGAAAGTGCTTCAACAGAGGAATGCTAACGTGAAGCTAGCCTCTCAGGGTCTATAGAGCCCAGAAAACGGGGTAAGATGACCCTCAGGGCCCTTCCTGTCACCCCTCCCATCCCCCCATTACTAATCAGCCACAGCATCACTTCACTCACTGGCTTCTGTGGTTAAATGTCGCTTTTCATTACTCCACCTGCTCCACTTCCAGAAAGTCTCGGAAGAACAACGAACCCGGAAGGAATATACAGTGTATGGGTTTAATTTGTCCACAGCAACAGGGTAAGTTGAATCCTCGGCTCCTCTCACTGTGGCATTCCGCTATTTGAAAACAAGTGAACACACACTGAGACTTAAGTGTATGAATATGTAATATGCCCATACACGTTATAGCCTGGGGTATAAAACCATTCTTTGCTTGTATCGTAAATCAAGTGAATCTTATACTAGTTTTTGGTTACAGCAGCAGAGTTCATAGTGTTTAATTCTTATGAAATACTACATTAAGAGAATTATGCTCCATAGTGAATGAAAATGAGTATAAGGCCGCTCTTAGGTACGATGAAGGAGAAGGTTTTTATCGTAGATACGAGGGAGAGAATAGCTAGAGGCATCTGGAAGAGTCCAGACTGAGCATGGCCAGCAGAATAGACCGTGCCATGGATGGACTGTGGGTGGAGCAAGAGAGGAAGAGAAGAGAAGGGGAGCAAAGAGAGCAAAAGCCCACAGCCAAGATGGCTGAATTACACAGGAATCAAAGAAGCTGGGGGAAGGGAAGGGGAGCTGGGAGTGGGGTGCTGTGGAGAGACTTAGGGTAGGGGGTGCAGTATGCCATCCAGGAAGACTCTAACAGGTACTTGGAGTAAGGACTGAGGGAACCTAGAGGCTAGCATAAACCTTGATATGCTAATAGGCACAGCAAGCATAGGTTAATGGAAGAGCCCTACATTCTTTCTTGCCAGAGATCAGGAGAATAACTCCTTTGAGCAACTAGGGACTATCTTACTTAAGTCCCTGAGAGGATGCTGGCCTTTGTCTAAATGCCAGACTTTAGGAAAAGGAATTTCTTGGGACCTAACTCATAGTAGTCAATTAAATACTGGGATGCATTTTTAATTTAATTATTAGATCTAAATGATTATGGTCAGTTAAATGATACAGATTTTTTTCCCACTAATCAGTGAGTAGCTAGTGACTATTAAACTTTAATACAATTTGGTAATTAGAGATAAACTTGAAGATTAAGTGCGTTATTTCAAGGAGACTAGGAATCATCCTGGAGGCAAGTGGCATGGTTTATGTAGGTGTCACCTAGAGCCTCTAGTATGTCCTGAACATGTAGCAAATAGACAAAAAAAATTAATTACTATAAATTAAGTTAAAACGAAGCAGTTTTACACAGATCTGAGGCTGAGCATGCCAGGAGTCTCTTGAGCACTCAGCTGCTCATTACAAAGTAGCTTTTCAGATCAAACTGTGCACTTCTGAATGCTTGTCCAGAAACCAGTGAGTTTACAAATTGACGCTTAGCTATAGTAGCATTTACTTCAGGGTTACTGCAAATTACAGGAAGGTATAAGTCAATCTAATTATTTAAAATGTATTAAAAAGTCAATGTTTTGACTTTATAATTACCAATTTCAACTTGCTTCTCCTGATGCACTTAACAATTTAAAATGCCCTTCTATTCTCCTGTGCCAGTTAGTCAAAGGCTACAGTAAGAGATACTTTTTCATTCACAAACTTAACGAGTCCTACGTACATGCAGGCATTACACACTAAGCCTGAGAACATTCTGAACAGCAGAAGTTGAATGTATACTCTTTACTGTCCAGTAACAAATACTCAAATATAAATTAAAATGCTGCCATGGCACTGGGCTGTCAGGTCTTTCTTGGCTTGGGGAATCTCTGTAATAAATGTTCGGAGAGTTTTTATGTATATACATATATTTGCTTAATTATGTTTGAAACTGAATGTTTAATTCAAAATAACCATAAAGAAAGCTATAGGGGAATTTTACTTACCACTTCTTTCTTGGAGCTAGCTTTACAGATTTCAATCTGACATGAAAGATTAATCTTTGTAAAATTTCCTGGCAAATACCAGGAAAGTGTAACAACTGTTGAATTGATGTCCTTCACTTTCAACGAGATAGGAACGTGAGGGGCAACTGTAAAGAGAATTATAAAGATTAATGCCTTTATACATTTAAGGGTGGAAATGGTCTCTCCTAGTAAGATAAACTAGAAGCAAAGTATATGTGTGGGGGAGAGGAGCAAGGAAGTATTATTAATGCCAAAAACTAAGATAGTCTGTACGGAGCCCATGGACTTATTTGCTACTGTTGATATCATACCACTGACCTTAAAGAACCAATGTGCTCAAGGTTCTTTACCTGGGTTTGAGGATGCTAAGAGGTGGATCAAGGTACCTTTAAGAGATTTGAGTGTACACTGGGAATAACAGATACAGAGTAACTGACAGCCACACATACGAGGGGATTGTGCATGCGTGCATGCGTGCGTGTGTGCGTGCGTGCGTGCATGTGTGTGTGTGTGTGTATGTGTGTGTGCGTGCGCGTGTGATAATGATGCTGTCTGCTACAGGAATTCAGTGTGGCTCAGGATGGCAAAGTCCTAACAACGGGGGCAGACTCTTGAGGTTCAAAGGAAAATCGATGTACACAGGGAAGGAGGGAAAGACCCAGGGCAGACAAACACGAACAAAACCTTCAGCTCTAGTGTCACCGTCTGACTCTGGGATGACACAGAAAGGAGGATGGCAGTATGGAGTGACAGATAAAAAGGAGGGACCAGTGACAGCTCAAGAGCACTTCACACTCTTTCAGTCGACCAATCGGATGACAGTTCCCAGCACCTACAGGTCACAGCCACTTCTAACTGGAGCTACAGGGGATTTGACCCCTTCTTCTGGACTCTGCGGGTATCAACATCAGTGGCTGGCACACTTAGCACATACATACCCACAGAAATAATGTAAAATAAAAATTCTTTTTACAAAGTGATGAAAAAGGGAGGCAGGGAGACCCTCTACTGTCCCCTTGTCAGCCTGGTGACAAAGCCCTTGCTTGTACCCATGTGTCTCTGTGAGGTCTCAGCAGGTGGCAGAGCCTAGCATGGCTTTAGTACATTGGGCTGATGGAGGGACAACCCCAAAAAGACTACAAGTATCTTATTTCTATTCTAAGCTGTGTTACATACTGGTTGGGGAAAAAAACAATCAGAGCTCACTGGCACACAAAGAAACGGAGAAATAGCATACAATTTAGATGTTCCTCAAGGATATTATCCTAAGAAATGCCAGCTTCGGCAAAATGGGGTGAAGGATAGGTAACTGGTTCAATCTGACAGAGACAGTGATGGGATTCATCTGTGTAAAGGTTCAGGTGACTGCCATCAGAGTTAAGACATATTCTGCTCCGACAGCACAAAGGAACTTCCCCATGTCGCCCCTTCCGCATATTTAAGCACACATTCTAGTGAAGAGTAGCGATCCCTCTAGATTACTAGCCTATTGAACAATATACACCAGAGTCACCGCTCGGTCTGTAAGTTTTAGTGTCATCGCTGAGGAAAGACAGATGGATTCACAGAGTTGTGACTCATTATTTTTGCAGTGACTTTTGAGTCAAAAAAGTATTTTAAAGTAAATGTTTTCTTTCTATCTAAATGAATCAAATTTTTATCTCAACTCAAAAAAATGGTCAGTTTAAAAATTATTCATTTTAATTCTTTAAAATAAAAATTATAAATAAATATATTAATTAATTAATTAATTAAAAAATTGAAAAAACAACCCAAAGAAGATAAACAGTAAACACTAATCTGCACGTCACTTTTCGGGAGTGCCAAGGTATAACACGTGTTATTTTTATTGTGGTTATTTATAGACTCTGGCCTGTAACAGTGGCTCACCTCTTTCAGTTATGTTGATGGCAATTGCTGATTCTGCTTGTCCCAGTGGATTGCGACCAGTCAGGGTGAAGTTATGAATTTCTTGGTCAGGAAGCATTTGCAAGCTTAACCAATAGGTTTCATTTGCAAGTTCTTCAAACCTGTGAAATACTGCCGACTTTCCTGAAATGCTATCAGTTAAAAAGAATGAAAAAAAAAAAATCAAGGTAGTAAGACGTAAATATTGTGGGGGAAAAAAAAAACATGAGCAGATTTCTACTCATCTTTATAAAAAGTCTGTTTTTAAATTAAAGACTGATCACAGATTCATAAAACTGTGTGTGATATAAAAACCACCGCCTGGACAGACTAAATGAGGCTCTTCCTTGTAGGCATTGGAGAGAGGAGGCACAGAAGTGCAGACACAACTACAGCTATTACAGTCTGTCTATACGGTACCAATCTAGTAATGTGTCAGAACACTCCCCTGTGGTACAGTGCACACAGTACCAATAGAACAAGGTCACTTGCATGGTGGCAATGTGCCAGGTCACTCCCCTGTGTCACTCAATAGGTCCTTCCAAAGTTTTTGCCACCAGCACTCTTTCCTGGTTAACATTACCTTTCAAATAAGGTGTATTCTGTATTTCGTGGGCCCACCAGTCCTGTTATCCTTCCTGGATTCCAACTACATATAATCTCTTTGAAGTCATGGGTCTCACAGCTCAGTTTCTGAGGAACATCTGGTGGATCTAATAGGAAGAAGAAAAACAAAGGGGTTACATATGTCTTCCTCCAATCTACAGTTTTATGGTTAAGTGAGATTTTGCATAACTCCCTTAAAACAATCTGCTGTTTACACATTTCCCTTTGGAATAGTGCACAAATCATCAGTGTTTCTCCAAGATGTGTTGTTACAGTTTGTACTGCATTTGAAACAATGTATTAAGACACTCTGAGGAGTGACTGTCAACTCAGCTCCTGTGCAAATTCCCAACAGCAAATCTAGAAATGAACTAAACTGCTTTTTCCTTAAGTTTGACTTCAAAGGCTTCTAAGTTAAGTCCTCAGAATCTACAGTCCCGTCTATTTACACACTGTGGCTAAGAAAGAAGTATCAGGATGCTAAAAGTCACACGGTTGCTCACAGGAACCATTCACTTGGGCTTTACTTTGCAGCAGAGAAAAAAGAAAAAGGTCAATTCTTGGGAGGAAGGTGTAAAAACTTTCAAATGGTATGTAAAACCATTACAGTCTGGCACTTGATTATACAAGAGAATCTCTGTAATTCTATAATTATACATAACCAAACACATACAGACACTGATCTCTCCTAAAGTGATATTTATGGAAGGGTTTTTTCATTTTCTATAAAAGTTTAAAACAATTTATCTGTCTGGTAAAATATTCTATAGAAATAATACTATTTTTGAAGGAACTGAATTTTTCAAATAGTACATAGATGTCAACCAAAACACAAATTTTTCTAAACTCTCCCAAGAGATCCCAATAACGGCTTACTTAGTTTTAATTTTTTATTTATTAATAGTGGATATGTGCATGGCACATGGGGCATGTGTGCATAGAGCACTGTGGAGGTCAGAGGACAATTACGTGGAGCTCTGTCCTGCTGCCTAGCTCCTTCTGTCTTTATGTGAGTTCCAAGCATCACACTCAAGTCGTGGGACTGTGTGGCAAGTGTCCTTACTTGCTGAGATTTCCCTGGCTCCTCTAATGGCATTTTATCGAATACAGAAGATAAGTGAATGCTTTGACGGCAGTTTTACAATTTAAACATTGATACTCTTACTTTGAAAGTTATCTTAAACCTAAGGCAAAATTATCTACCACTCTTATTACATGTTGAAACTTTATATTTATGATGATGATGATTTTAGGGTATAGAATATACACATTAATCTATAAATAAGAATGGACTGAAAAGAAACAAGAGTGTGACAAGAGAAAAAAAATGAGAGCAGAATGTTTGAAACATACTGATTCCCTTTTCAAAGAAATTAACTTAGAGAAGAACTCAATTGAAATTGGGTAAATCTCGATTCAGATCGTGTTTTTAATACACCAGTGAACGTAAGATGTGATTTCTAAAATGCTAATAAGTGGTACTATGGTGCACATACCTTTAATCCTACCGTCTAGCAGAGGAAGACTGACTTCTGTGACTCTGAGGTCAGCCTGGACTACCTAGGAATTCCAAGCCAACCAGAGAGCTACATAGTGAGACCATGTCTCCGAAAACCAAAACCAAACTACCATCAGGGAACACCAAGCTGCTAGGAATAAATTCAACCAAAGACACTCAAGACCTTGTATTGCTACAATGTTTGCTAAGTGGATCTGCAAGGCTCAGAACGAGAGTCTTACATTGGTCTATAGTTGAGTATAAATGTGTTCAGGGGGAGGGGAAATGATTTTAAAGGTCTCTTTTTTTTCTTTTAAACAAATGGAGGAGTAACAGTATACCATTAAGGGAGCAAAATAGAACAACAACAAAAACAAAATATCAATCTTGATCTGGACTTTATATTAAAACCTGTTCCGGAAGTTTCTGACTCCTTCTGTCTGGCGGAAAATGCTACTGCTACACCAAAGTCCTAAACACATAATCATCTACAGACATTCTGCACAGTCTGCATGGGAAGAGCAGCCCAATACCACAACTTCTAGACTTATTTTAGGATACAGGAGTGAGTGGTCACCTCCCTGAGTGAGGGCGCCCACACTAAAGGCAGAATGCATGAAGAATAAAACTTCTCACCCCTTGTCTTCTGCTGCCCTCAAATATGCTACTTAAAAACTGGATATACGATACAGTATGCAATATTTAACCATGGCTACTCAAGGGTTTACTTTAGTTAAACGGAAAACAAATGTGTATGAAGTCATTCCTAAGCAATGTCCAATTAGGAAATACTACCTATACTAAGGACTTCAAATCAATTCTGAAGACAAGAATGCAGACTAATTCCTAGTTGCTAGAGGTATCAACCTTATTATGAAACTTAGAATTGGTATAGGGATAGGTATGAAAGAAATAAGTTCCGGTCTCCTGTGCAAGTGTTCTAGACACTTTGTATAGTATTTGTATTAAACAAGGAAATAAGGAAGGAATAGAATCAGCCCACAGAAAAGAAATTAAGGTTGGAAAGGGACCAATACCGACTGAGAGGAACTATCTGACACGATATACTTACAGCCCGCAAAGACAACCGTTCCATACACATCATCATCTGTGCTGAAAATGATGTTTGTTCCGCTGTTTTCGGAAACAGGTATGTTCAGGATATGGATAGCAACAGTTTCCCCATAAAGATGGATGAGAGGACGAAACGTATTGCCAATCTGTCCTGAAAGCACTTTCGTTGGACTCATACAACAAATCGTCATGTTGGAGCCTGCAAGTACCACTTTGTCTTGAGGGAAAACATTAGTCTCAGTGTTACGAACCCCTAAGAAGAAACGAGAGGAATCACAAACATTTCACACATCTTTTACACAAACCTGTCTCCTTAAAACATCCTTTTTTGTCTCCTAGGATGATTTTTATTTTCGTTTATTTACTTATTTTTTTCTGTTTACTTTTGTATGTGTGTGTGATGTATGAAGACGCTCACGTATGTGTATAAAGACTAAAGGTTGACATGGGGTGTCTTTCTCAGTGTCTCCCCACTCTTATGCTTTGAGATAGGGGCTCTCACTGAACCTCGATCTCACTAATTTAGCTAGACTAGACAGAAGAAGCAGCTCTGACATCTACCCACCCTCAGAGACTTAGGATTATAGATGTTACCATACCCAGCTTTGAGGAGGTGCTGGGGATACAAACTTCCAGCCACAGAACTGCTTCAGTGGAGGGCACTTTCCCAACAGAGCTCCTCACTTTTTCTATTTTTAAACAAGGTGTTACTCTGTAACCCAGAATGGCTTGGATTTCACCATGGAGCCAATGCTGGCCTACAGCTCGAAATAACCCTCCTGTCCCTGCTGCATGCTGGGATTACAAGCATAAACCACCACATACGAGAGCTTAAAATAGTTCAGTACCTACAAAACACACCGTAGAGGTTGTGAAATAATGCAGACCCAAATGCAAAGCATGAACACTTGGGTTTCAAAGGAGCAAGACACAGATAAGAAGTGGAAACTGTGACCTTATTTACTTATGCAGGGACAGAACCAGATCACAGGCCCTTGTCGAAGGTCACAGGTTAATTTTTAAGGGTTTATATACACATGCAGATGTGCACACGCGGTATCACTCCATAAGTATGCTTATTCTTTTGAAACTCTCCTATGTTCTTAGAACAGGTGTACTTTTCATCAGCAAACAAGTGGGGAGCACTCCACGCCCTAACTCACAGCTGCTGCTTCAAGCACACCCTTGCAGGTCAAGGTCATGCACCCCAGCTCCACTCCTAACAGCTGGTGTTTACACAGTGACCCCTGGTCTCCTTTATCCCTCACTCTTCCCTGACATCTGGCTTCTAAGTCCACCATTCTACTGAAGAGACTCCCTGGTCCCATGTTCTATCCGAGGGCTCCTTCTGATTTATTGTCCAAACACCTCTTCAAACTCCTTCCTCTCTTGGGTTCCACCACAGGGAACTTTCTGGGTCACTCTTAGTCCTCAGGCTACTGGCCTTCTTTCAGTATTTCTGTAGACAGGAGAGCTTCCAAGGGGAAGGAAGCTTCCACGAAACCTGACTCCCTTTCCCAGAGATACACTGGCCTTCAGAATTTAAACCCTTCCCATCCCATACACCTTTGTGACCCCCAAAGGGACATCTCCAGCTACACCCATGTCTCTGGGTGCCAGACTGACATTTCCAACTTCACTGCCTCAACTCAGAGTATTAAAGATGAAACTGTCTTTTCTACCCAACTGATTCCAATATTTTGCATCTCTGTGGACAGCTTCTCTCCCCTACCCCTCAGCCAACCAAAGTAACAGACACTGTTGGGAGACGCAAGCACCTTGTCCGTCCCCAAATCAGATTATGCTGCTCCCATCGCTTCCTCCCTCCCTTGCTTTCTAAACTCAGCTGTCCTGGGTTATATTTACAGTGTCTTGTTCAACTGGCCCAGAGCCTCCTTATTTATCCAGCTGCTTCCGGCCCTTCCTTATCTGATGTTGTTCCACAGACTGTCCACCTGTAATGAACACTGGATGGTTCCTGGACTTCATTTTATTGACTCTGATGACCCGGGGCCCCTGTTCACTCTGCCAGAATTTTACATCTATCTGTTAGAGGAGTTGTATTTAATAGACACATGGTTTTCAGCACAGCCTTTTGGAGTTAGTCTCAGGTTTCTTGAATCCACAGTTCTGGGGTGACCACTTTGGAAGAAAACAACCCAGATTAAAAAAAAAAAAAAACTAAGGGCATATACCAACCGTTACTCTTAAACAATCTAACAAGTGTGAACCAAGGGTCTGTAAAAGTAAGCTTACAGGAAATGTTCTTCAGCGGGCTCCAGTCACTCCACTGTTTATAACCCGAGAAATGAGGATAGTCAATGTGCCATCTAATGCTCACGGAGTGAGTGGCACATTGCAAGGGCAGGTCTGAGGTCCAGTTCCAGTGGTGAACTGCATCTTTACCACTCAGCACTGTGTTGAATGACTCCTAAAAATAAACAGAAAATTATGCTTCTAAATAGGGCTAATGTTCTGCCTTTCTCCAGGATAAAGGAACAGAAAAGCCTCACAGAATACGTCCGATCGGCCACCGAGTAATGCTATAAAGGTAATTCCATTGCACCATTGTACAGCGGTCTATTTCTATACAGTGTAACAAGAAAGTTAGTCTAACACAATCATTACTCGATTATGTGCCCTTGTTAACATTGGTCCTACGGGATTACCTTCCGTTCCCTTACAGGGGTTCGTACACATTGAGACTGTCAATAAAGCAACTAAGAAAATATACTGCTATAGAAATGATTTCCATACTCTCATGGAGGAAAAGAAAAAAAAAAAAACAGGGGATCTATATCTTAAAGAAGTAAAGCCAAAGAGAGGGAGGAGACAAGAAAAAAACAAAGCAAGGGCAGATGGGAAAAATAAGACAGCCAGAAAACCAGTGGTCCAGTTTCTCAAGAAGAAATGTTCTGAGGAAAAAAAAAGTGTGTGTGTGTGTGGGGGGGGGGGGGTGTCCAAGAAATAAAACAAGTTCCGAGGGTGACAGATTAGACTAAAATGAGCGACTCAGTGTTCAGCAGTATGGATGTGACCACACAATTAAGGAACGGAGCATCCCCTTCAAGACCTTGATAAACCTTTGCAACGTGTAAAGTACATCTAGTTAAACTAGCAACCCTGCCCAAGACATGCTGTGCCTGTGCTCCCAATGCTAGCCTCTCACGCTTCCAAAAGTAAGACAGGAAGCTTCTAACTGTCACCATCTTCTTCTTTTTTTTCTATTTTGACAGGTTTATTTATTTATTTTATGTGAGTACACTGTTACTCTCTTCAGATACAATGCCTAGAAGAGGGCATTGGTTTCCATTACAGATGGTTGTGAGCCACCATGTGGTTGCTGGGAATTGAACTCAGGACCTCTCGGAGAGCAGTCAGTGCTCTTAACCACTGAGCTATCGCTCCAGCATCCTCTTCTGTGTGGTGGCATGTTTGTTAAGCTTCTGATAGTTAAGGTTAGAATCTCTCAGCAATTTACCACTCTGCCATCCATGTCTATGGAGGAGGGTCAGCCTCAGGGCCACAGAGAGATTGATCCACAAAGGTAAACAGAAAGAAAAAAAATACCCAATACATTGGAACATTTTGAGACTCACTCGGCCCAGAGAGAAATTAGCATTAAGTTACTTAATTGCAGAAATGGAACTTATTAAGGCATAAGAAGCTCCAGAAGAAGATGAGGCAGAAGCTAGGATTCGGAATATTACTCTACCTGTACAAGTTCAACTACACTTGAAGAAGTTAGGAACCTGGGATGGGGATGAAGAGAGGAAGGGAGCAGGGAGCCAAGGAGCCAGAGACATGGTGGGTTAGGAAAGAAGACAGGGTTCCCGTTGTCCACGAGGCAGTTAAGACACTGCGGGAACTATAACGGGACAACAATGTGCGCCTGCTGCCAGGGGGATGGAGATGGGACCAGAAGGAGTGAGCTGACGGAGTTAAACATAGCTGTAACCTAGCCCTGGGAAGGCTGAGGCCAGAGTGCCACACGCATGGTACAGTGAGGCCCTGTCTCCATACACAAATCCAAGCTTGTTCCTAAGGAGCAACAAGTGGGACTCAGGGGCCGCTTCAGGGCAGCTCAGGGGCTCCCTGTGTCCATCTTCACAGTGTGGACCATTTCCCATGGCTGTGCACACATGGTCTGTGCCTTAAATGAAATACTACTGCCTAGCATCCCTCTTGTCCCAGAATCCACATGGCCCCTGTCCAACTTCCCATACCTGTTCCTCATGTCTTAGAACAAGCGGAAAGCAGGGGTGAGTTACAGAAACCCATTGGATACTGTGTGGGGACAGGGAGAGACATACTGAATATATCAAGGCCATTTCAGACTGCTAAATTAAAGCTTACTGGTTTATTATTATGGTGAGATGTGTTTTAATTATTCATTTTATGTACAATAATGGGCAAAGGAAAATAACAGACTGAATAAAATAAACCGAAAATAAACTTTTATTTAATTTACGTAAGAGCATGCTTAAATGAAAGGCTGGCCATTTACTGTATTCAAGTGGGGAGAATCAGGGACTAGCTCTCCCCTTAATTTCTTAAACTTTGTATTATCATTACACAAGTGATTTTCTTTTTAAATTTTTTTACTGATTTTTCTGTCATTGTCTCTGTGTGTGTGTGCGTGTATGTGTGTGTGTATGTGAGTGTGTGTGTGTTTGTGTGTGTGTGTAATGTGGGCAAGCACATGCCACAGTTGCACACAGAGGTCAGAGGAGAACTTTCAGAACTCTGTTCTCTCCTCACACCAGGATTCCAGGATCAAACTCGGGCAGCCAGGCTTGTATGGTCACCCCATCAGCCTGTGAGTGACCTTTAAGTCACATCATATGGTTCTTAAAGAACCCATAAGGATACACAGTCTAGTTTTTTGATAATCCCCAAACTCATGGATGGCACCTTGAAAGCTTTAAGAGTGGGTTTCTTCCATTGTATAACAGGGAAATGAATTTTTGCCCAAACTTACTAGTGCTACGGGTTCTGTCCTCGGATTCTGTAGAACCTTAACCTCCCAGGTGGCATTGGAGGGGTGAGGGAGAGCAGATCCTCTGTCGTTCCACTTCAGTTCTAACGAGGAGGTGAAGAAGTCAGCGGACAAATCCAAGATCTCAGGAGTATCTGGAATTAAAGCTGAAAACAAGAAAGAAAAGCAAAGATGTTTAGTTAAATAATATATTTTTCACAGTATACTTCAATTCATCAGTAACTTCTAAACTCCATAAATACGTAATGTAATAATATGGCATGAAAATAAACCCTTGAAAAAACCCTGTCACTGGGGTGGGTGGGTGGGGGAACGATTGAGGTTTTTATTTGTACAGGCAGCTCCTGGTAATTAAAGGGACAAACTTGAGAAAACTGTCAGCTGGATGTTTCAAATGCGTAACACACTTCCTACTCCCGGCAGCAGCAGGGTTCCCAGGATACCAGCAGTCACCTGGCTGAGGACCTGAAAGGTAACAGCAGAAGAGCTTGCTTGGGGTTGCAGCGGTGGCCTGAGCCGTGGACAGCTGGGAAAGGGCTAGTGAGCTCTCATGGCGGCTCATGTGTCTTCCAGCAGCAGAGACCCTCACATGAGGGGACACCACCCACTTAAAGAATTCAAAGAGCTGCACCAAGGTGTGGGTGTCATTAAACAACAGAGACCGTTCTAAAGAGTTTGGTTCTGAGCGCCGAAGCCAAAGGCCTCTGAAGGGCAGGAGGGAAGAGGTCTACAAAGGGTGGCTCAGTGGCCAGTAGCAGCTTCAGCACTGTATGCAAGACCATGATGCTGAGAAGCAGCAAGGGTCAAGTAGTCCAAACAAGACAGAGTTCAGGGAGAAGAAGGGAGAGTACAGAGAGGAACGAGGGTGTGGTCCTTTCAGTTACTTTGCTATTGCTGTGTTAAAACACCGTGGTCAAGGCAACCCACAGAAGGAAGGGCTCATCTGGCCTTATAGCTGTGGCTTGGTGACACTGGATAAACCTTGCTTGAGAATTTGGCCATGTGTGGAGGGAAGCTGTAACCTGACATGTGGTAGCAGGAGGGGAGATGCTCAAGTTTGCTGCTCTCCGTGCCCACGGCACATGATCAGAACCTTAGTGGGAAACAAGGTACGCGTGTGGCCTTGTCGGTGGCAGAAACAGACATAGAGGTTCCTGCGAGATTCTTCCTCAAATGATAGGCGTGTGAGGATAAGTTAGAGGAAATCCAAAGGTAGGCCCTTTTTTTTTTTTTTTTTAATTTCTTCTATTATTTCTTAAGGAACTCAAGGACCACTAAATCAAGTCATGGTAAGCAAGAAACTGCAAGAGTCAATAAATGTCCAGGGGTAAGTTAGCTGACATTCAAACACAGGCAGAATAAGCCATTTACCACCTCGGACCTAAAAAATAAGCTTGTACAGTTTGGTTTTACTAAAATTTGCTGACCACAGTGCTTTATACTAGATCTGATAGTTAGAGTTGTTCATGACGTGGAATGTGTGGATTTCAAATCTGCACTACAGAACCAAAGTGCAGAACCATATCAGTTACATGTCACGGAGCAAACATGCTTCGCAGAGAACCCTACAGTGTGATCTGCATGTGAAAGCAAGGATAAGTGAGAAGCACAAGGTGGACCTGGAGAGAGTTGGCCCAGGTGCCGGCACAACCAGGACAGAGTTGCTAGCATCATCCGAGGATGTGACTGACGGCATCAAAGCAAAATGACGTAAACATGACGACATAGGCATCCTGCAGCAAAGCCTATGTCCTTAGGGATGCTTCCCTCCTACGACTGACACTGGAGGCCTTTTGATAAGCCTACTTTTTAGAGACCTACTTCTGTAGCTTTCCAAAATATATACACATATGAATAGAATTTAAGTGAATGGAGTCACCATATAATGGGAGAGACAATGTCCCAACAGAACATATTGTGCCAACAAGTAACACCTCCAAATGCTAGACATTGGATTATATCTTATTGAGTCATTGGCCAAAGAAGTCCCACACCACCACCCACAAACATCACGGATGACTGCCAACTCTACTGGCTATTCTCCATAACTTAATGATAAAGCCCTATTTGCTTGAAGACACAACTTCCTTATGCCATTGAACATGGGGAAATTGAGCTGTACTCAACTAGAACCTTTATCCCTACTGACCAGCATTCATGGTATCACAGGATACGTTTGCACACTACTGGAGAAGAAAAGTCATCGTAAATTTCCAAATATAAGCCTTGTGACTTACCAGGTGCGATAGTGGCATGAATACAACCAACTACATTTTGATTTCCCTATAAGATGGAACCCATACGTGACATCCTAGAGTAGTCAAGAACCTGAGACTAGTAGGCCATGGGCCCTAAGGGAAAATCTACTTTTATTCTACTAAAGGATCATAGCAATAAGATGACTCCTAACGACACACTGGTATACACATAGATCAGAACGCTGCTTGATGCTCATCAGAGCTTACTCTCGCAGTAGACAATAATTAACACCGAGAACCACAACTGGACGACAAAAGTGGACAGATCAGAGTTAACCTTATCGCCTTCCCCCTGTCTAACAGTCAGTGACCTTCCATGGCTCACCATGTTATTACGACGCCAACCTCTCAGTGGTGAAAAGCTCAGACCTCTTTGCTGCCACGAGAGAAACCTGTGAAGTTCCAGTTCTACGTCTGCCTGCCTGAGTTACCTGTCCTTCCTCTGCACTGGTGGCCTGTGTCCTAGGTGTTCACATACGAGACCCTTGCCAATTGCCTGTGCACAGTACAGAACACAAAGTCCCTGTCCCTTCTCTCACGGAAAACACTTCCTGTGATGAAGACATAGGGTAAGCACCAAACTACACAACAGAAGGACTATGAGTTCAACTGAGAACTTGTCACAAAGGACTACGGCATGCTCAAGTGTGAGTGGACAGTGGGAGACGGTCACCTCTGGGGTGGTCAGTGACTACACTCCTAGAACAAAGATCACCCGAGACATGCTGGGACATGTGTGGGCATGGAGGCTTGGGGGATGGAGGTGGGCCTAGGATTGCAACCAAGAGAGGGAAGGACCTCCACTTCCTCTACTCTGACTAGAAGATACATTTGTTCCCTTCCTCAGCAAGGATGTGGAGGAATGGCAGCAGTAATATAAACGAAATTCAATGAATCATAGGTTTGTGCCAGCGACCCAGCACCACAGTATTAACAGTGACTTTGTTCAAGATTAATTTCCAGCTGGCGTGGTGGCACACACCTCTGAGCCCGATCCTCGGGGCCTGAAGATGGAAATCACAAGTTCAAGGCTAGCCTGAGGTACGTGGCAAGCTCCCGGGGCCAGAATAAAAAGCAAAATGCCGATGATGATGAAGAGGAGGAATAGAACAGGATTTTCAGTTAAGTACTTACAAACATCTTTCTCATTCAGTGTGAATTTACTCTGAAAGCCATTTAGATAGTTTATCATGACTTCGTGATCACCGGGTGAAAGAGCTGGAATTTTAACGTTTGTTGTCTCTAGTCGATGACAAGAATGGAACCTGTAATGAAAGAAAGGGAACTTTAAATAGCAGATAAAAGTAGGGTCACGGCGGCCATAAAAGCCTGATTAACATTAGATGCACCAGAAAGTGCCCTATGCTTTTGTGTAATGTTGGGTTGTCTGCTAAACAAAGAGGACTTAATGGCAATATGAGGAAGAATAACCGGCCTGCCAGGACGCACAGAGCAAGCAGACATGGCTCTGAGGAACCTCTGGGTTTGCACGCTGTTCAAATCCCACCTCAACCTCGCCAGAGCTCTGCTCCCCAGCACTGTTCCCTTCAGCACAGAACACGAAGGGGCCATCGCCTAGCGCCTCGTAGTGGAAGCCGGGCTCAGCAGAGGCCACGGCAGAGTGAAACTGCACACAGTGGTCCCTGTGCATACACCCTCTCTTACCCACCGGGCTCACAGTTAACTTCAATAAGACCACATCACTTGGATGTGGAAGGCTTCCGATCTGAGTCGCACAGACAACCGCTACTTTTCCTCTCTGGTTTCACGGCCTTTGTATTCCTATGGGGCTTTATTTATATTCTTTTTTTACTAATAAGAACTTTCCAGGCCTCCTGCACCCCTCACCCAGCACTGTGCACAACCCTCTCTCTTCGTTCACTTAGGACTTTGGACTTGATCCTCCAGGCTCACATCTTTAACTGTACAGCCGGAGACCATCAGAATTCTCCAATCACACCATTGCATTAGTTTATCCTGGGTACAGAGTCTCACTCTTTCTGCAAAGGAAAGTTGTGCGTATGTGTCTTCTGCCATAGTCCAAGGTTTCAACTCCTTTGTAAGTCACTCCACACTTCAGCCAGCAAGCCACTCACAGGACTGCTGTTATCTGTTGTGAGACCCTGGTGAGCAGGACCTAAGTTTCTCTCATGTGCCACAGCCAACATTCATACCATTTACCCACACTTCTAGGATCTCCTCCCTTGGACCCAAGGTAAGACTGTCCTCTGTCCCTCTGAAAACAAGGAATGGCCATGTGACATTATGTGGCCAGAAAAATCTGAAGCAAAGTCACAGTTACCCACTTAATGAAGAAATCTCTGAAAGCCAACACAGGCTATGTCCTTTTTTGTCCCCTTCCAATGACCTCATTAGAAGAAGCTCAAGGTGGAAATAAATCCCAACTGACACCAGAAGATAACCAGAAAACAGCCCTTCATTTTCATGAGCAAAACATAAAGGTTTGAAGGCTGTTTCTGCAACAAACTCTCACCTGTCTTAACTGTCAAGCCGTCCTCGTGTCCGCAATAGTGCTTGGTAAACAGACAAAGAAGGGGAATAGCTGGCTCTGTTTAAACATGCTATGTCCCTTTCGATCAGGGCCACTTGTTTGTAAACTGAGACTTGGAGGTAAGCTTGCTAAGCCTGTGGGGCTTGGCTAAGTAATTCACTGTCCTGCTGGGATTCGGGAGAAGCTAGAGACACTGTGTAGGCCTCCACTCGAGAGAGCAATGTGTCGAGCCCACTCAGGATTACTTGAGCTATAAGGTGATGCTGTCACAGCATTCTCCTACCATACAAGGCCCGTTCACCCTCCTTCTTAACAACATGGACACAATGTTGCTGAACTCTGTCTCCGCCTAGGAGAACTTATCTCCAGGCCTCTAGAGGAGCCAGACTTATTAGCCATCTGACTAGATCAGGTCAGTGTAGGTGGGGTTTTTTTGGGACTTCTTATGAGTCTTTTAAATAGAAAATCATCTATCCTTTCCCTGCTTGCTTCTTCAAATGCAGACCTAAGGGCTGTTCCTCATGTATCATATGATTCCTAAACCATTAGATTCCAGACAAGAGATGGCAAAGAAACCTGACGACAAGGACAGGCTCATTGACAACTGTGCCAGCCCTGGACTGCCCACAATTGGACCATTTCCCTGAGAGTCAGCACCTGTGTACGGAGCTGATGTTGCTGGTGTTCTCATTAGACACAGACTTCAACCTGATAAAGGCAGACACGGCTTGGGGCAGGCCTGCAAAGCCCTCTGACAGATCAATACACAGTGAGTGACACTCCACCTCCACACTGCACACAGCAAAGGAAAAGCGCTTTTGGCTAGAAGATCAAGTCTGGACTAATGTATGTCTTGGAATTTCCAAGAGAAAAAAGACTGAGTGTAAATGTCTTTTGAAAATCCAAGAACAAAACTGTCACACTCAAAAATAACCAGGAAAGAAGCTCTGGGTTACAGCTTTAGATGGAGCCCAGGATGTCATTACCTGTCTTTAATGCAAATGTCTTTAACAGTTCCAGGGCTGACCCCGAGGGGTACTGGCCATGTGCAGTCCCATATTCGCATGTTGTTGGTTGTGCATTTCAAATCTTGTACCCCTAAAGAAGGAAAAACAACATGTACATACATGATTCAGAGCATGCATGGTGACTCTTGGGCACGCTGAGGGGTGGTGTCTCAGTAGGGAGACAAGTCCAGGGCCTCCAGAGGGCCACTCTCTAGGAAGAAAGGCCTCAGTCATTAGATGCTGCTTTATGGATACTTTGCTAACTTTTTGTGGGTTTTTAAAAATATTTTTTAAATTTAAGATTATAATACAGCCATATCACTTTCCCTTTCCTTCCTCTAAATTCCCATGTATACCCCTTTGCTCTCTTTCAAATTCATGGCCTTTCTCTCTTTAACTGTTGTTCATTGTTGTTACATATACATGTGTGTACATGTCTATATATGTGTATGCCTGTATATATATGTATATACACATATACATATATATATGTATTCTTGAATACTTAAATATAACCTGTGTAGCCCACATAATATTACTTTTATGTAGTTTTCAGAGCTGACCATTTGCTCCTGGTGAACCGAATGGTATGTTCGTCCCTGGGTAAAACTATTTCTCCCACTCTCTCCTATCTTGGCAGTAACCAACAGCTCTCTAACTAGTCTTCAGACCCACTCAACAAGAGGAAAGTCACGCCTGTCACCGGTAATCTAACTAATTACCTGGGGCTACTGAAGTCATGATACTGTAAGAGAACCTACAATCACCACTTCTCTAAGCCAGCACAATCCCTAACTACACTCTAAATCTCTGTCCTTATGCCCATGGGTAAGGGTCCCTCATCTAGGAACCGTCTCTGTGACAGTGACCATTGTATAAAACTGCAACTGATCCAAAGGAAGAACTCTGGAGTCCAGAGCCAATGGATACATCTACAACGTAATTCCTGTCATAACCTAGGCTCAGGGATCACCAGGGAAAAGAGTGTGGGAAGGTTGGAAAAGTTAGAGGAACAGGGAATGTGCTGTAGGATGGTGTCTCCTAGAAATGTCAGAAGCTACAGCTAGGAGGTCTCACCAACATGGCTGCCTAGGCACGACCTGAACAAGGAAGATACCGATAAATATGTTAACATGGGAGCAAGCACAGGAGGCCTCACCCCTAGACAAAGAACTGCAGTCAACTAAGGAGTGTGTATATGTGTGTGTCTGTGTGTGTGTCTGTGTATGTGTGTGTAGGGATATGTTACATTTTGGAAATTAAAAAGCCAACAATAATGGGGTAGTGGAATTACCCATGAGGTCACACTACAAGCAAATAATTCACCTCTAAGGAAAAAAATTATCCCAGAAAACCCCAAGGTCTATCTCACCTCTACAAAGCCACCTAGCTGGGCTGCTGCATTGCTTATACAAGACTGCAACTCCACGGGAACCTATAACCAATCTCTTTATTATTGTAAAGCCCATTACACTCAAACACAATGAACTCACACTGACCTACAGAAAATATTCTTGTATGTGTGGCTTAAACAACAGGGTAGAAACAACTGAGGAGATTACGGTCCTAAGAGTCTTCCTCTACACTGGTCCATGACACCGCACTACGGAATGCGCGCCCATAAGAACGACACAATGAAAAGTCACCCTGGAATAAAGAGGAGAAAGGAAGACATAGAGGATGGGAAAGGGTAGGGGAAAAGAGAGGGAGAGAAGGGGAGAGGGACAGACAGACAGAAAGAGGAACAAGAGACAGGGAAGAGGAGCAAAAGGAGGAAGGACAAAACTAGAAATTATCTTATACTCTGTAGAGTCTATGAAAAAGCTAACTCTAACCCTAAATAGGAAAAGCTTATTATTACTGGTGCTTCACACATGAATTACAGGTATGATATTCACTGTTGCCATAAATGATAAATTCATGTAAGACAAAAAAGCAGAAACGCCTTAGAAATATTTGTATTAGAAACCAGCCGTTAATCACAATCAAGCCATTTACTCAATAATCTTGGGGGAAGCAGTCTGCCTAATTGTGTAAATACCATGAAGACAAAGCCAACGGGCAGCGGGATAACAGCCCTTGCAGAAATAAGCCAGGTGTTATCTGCAGAAACATTCTTAAAGTTTTAAAATAAGACACAAGGGACACAGGAAAGGATTTTCGATTGCATTTAGAAAACTTTCTTAAAACACATTTGAGACAGACCATATCATGGCTGGCTGGGCGGGGCAGGGCTGGGTGGAAAGAGCTGGCGACTGGGCATTTTTCATGTTCTGGAACAGCGCCAGATCTTGATGGTGCCTGTGGTTAGCAAATGTGCATTGTCAAAACTCAGAGAACTGTATCCTAAAGGAATGGACAGCATTGTACGAAAATTATGCTTTATTATTTGTATAGGGTAAAGGAATATTATGATTGCCGCTTAATAAAGGGGCTTTTAAAAAGAAACTAGAAATACACAGGGGGAAAAATGCAGAGAAATGGATTGAAAGCAGTACCCTGAAGAGGTCAGCCAAGAACAGGCCTACTCTATAGTCAGAAGTAAACCAGCTTGCTGTCTGCTGTGAGGCTCACTCACCTCTCTTCACACCATTTACATGCGTCATCAGATGCAGAAGAGTCAGAGCTGACAGGAGCCGGGGCAGGTTTGGAGTCATCCTCCTTCTTTTATTGTCCACCATCCAAGACGGCTGTCTCCACCATGAGAAAGCTCCCATTGTCCGTGCTGTTCAGTCAGTCCTAGGATGAGAGAGGAGGGATACAGATGCTGTTCAAATAACCAGAAGACACACCTCACTCTGGGCACACAACACCAGAAGCAGTCATGACACACATGTGCACAAACTGCTACTCTGGCTCTCAGACATCAAAAGCCGCTTCCAGATGCTGCTTTCAGGTGGTCGCCACAGTCAACAGTCCAACATCCGACTTCCCATTTGAGATGATACCTGAATACATGTGCATCCTTCCACTCTACCCCAATACTGCTGTGAGAGGAAAGCCAGCGGATGTACCAGCGGATGTTAACATAGACTGGGATGGAAGCCTAGATCTCTCACTTAGTGTGTGGTCCCAAATATACTCCATGGGATCCCAGCCCATCTGTAACTGGGTGCTCCTCTGCAAAGCTGAGGTGCAACTGCTTTATCCTACTAAGTTCGTCATGAAAAGCAAGTGATTAAACATGTGTGAAGCAGTTGAAATGTGCAAAGCTTGTGGTCAGGGCTATATGTTTAGAGTATTGTGTGAGGGATGGGGCGGGGTCGGGGGCAGAGGAATCAAGAGTGACTTCTAGATTTAGTGGCTCAACAATGGTGAATGGGTGGATGATGCAAACCATCCCCGAGTACGTGAAGAAACAGGCAACGAGATAGGAGGTACAAACTAAAGGATTCAAAGATCTGTTTCCAGCCAAGTGTTAGTGTGCTTCCACTTCACGTCCCAAAGAAAGGCCTCCTTCTACAAAGCTTAAAACATTGCCCAGGGAGAACCAAGGAGCTCACACAGACACAGGTGGTCCTGATACTGAACTCAGGTCCTCTGGAATAACTACACTCCCTCCCACAGCCCCACAGCCCCACAGCCACCAAAGCCTTCCACTGCACTGACAGCTTGTCAGACCTAACAGTGCCTAGCTTTACACTGCACAGAGAACTAAGGGTCACAGAACATATGAAGAATGTCTAACTTGTGAGGGAAACTCAGGATAAACAAGAAAATGAAAGTTACTCCCAGAACAAGACCAACAAGGAAAACAGCAAATTCTGAAGATAACATATTACTTTAGAGCTGAATAGTATATTCCATTACACACACATACGCCCTAAATTTTCCCTATTAATTCATCTGTTGATAGACAGCTAGGTTGATTATCATTTTTTGCTATAGCGAATAAAGCAGCAACATGATGCTGCAAATATTTCTACAGTAGGGTACAGAGAACTATACAGATGTTTACAGAAACGTATAGACATTAGGGCTGATTAATTTCAGTGTGTGATGTTTTTGGTTTGCAAAGATTTTTTTTTTAATTATAAGGTTAATAAAAGAGAAAAGCCAAAAACTTCACAAAGTTTCCTATAAGCAAAGAGGACAGCCATCAGAACAAGACAGACATGTCATGAATGGAGTAATTGGAAACAGAAATAGCTCTACAAAGGTAAGTCTCTTGGGTGAGGTTACATGTTAAAAGATTGTGTGTGCTTACATATGTGTTCACGTGTGTGCACAAGGGCAAGCATGTGTATGTGCTCGCGTGTGTCCATTGGTCTCTGCATGCATATGGCTACCTGAGGATGCCAGAAGACGATGTCAGAACTCCGGGAGTTACAGTTAGACGCAGTTTTAAACTGCATCTCAGTGGGTGCTGGGATGGGATCTCAGATTCTCTACAGGAGCAGTAGACACTCTTAACCACTGCGTGATCTCCCCACCTCCCTTTAAAAACATAAAATACTGACTAAACATGAAACAAAAGTAGGAAGTGGGCCAGAAATGGAGACTTCATAATGAAAAGAGATCCAACATCTCAGTGATTAAAGCCCAAGAGAGACTACCGTTGTCACTGACAGAACAAGGAACACTCTCTTCTTGGCTATTGTGGAATACCGTGCAAAGCCCAGAAACGAATCTCAGATACCTTATGTCATTGTGACCCACAAGCACACACTTCTAGAGTGTTCGGTTATTTTCTAGATGAGTGAGCAAGTTCTTGTCAACTCCAACGTCACTGAGCACACTTATTAGCATGAGAATGTATTCCTGGAATGTCCACCACGGTGCCTGCTGCCGAGGTTACAGAATTACACAGCTGTGCAGAATGGCTCGAATAATCACAAACTATACCCACCAACTGGCTAAACATATGTTGAAAGAATGCCTCACTAGCAGCTTACGGTTATTCTAGAAGGGAAACTCGGGTTCCATTGCAATGCCAGGAAGACGGGATGAGAGGGGCTGGAGGAGGTGCCCAAGGAAGGGCTCAGGACCAGGTGCTGCCAGACAGGGACTCTAATCTTGGCTCCATTACTAATTAGCAGTGTGACTGAAGGCAAATCACTTAATCCCTCTGGCTTCAGCCTCCACCAGTGTAGCCCAGAGGCAAGTTCTGTTTACTGGCCCCAGCAGACTTAATGCAATGCTCCAGTCCTGCCAGCAGGAACAGGCGGTGCAGAATGTTGGGTAGCTAACTGTTACAGACCTAGCACAGGTAGAGCACTGTGCACTAAGATTAGGTGACCCAGCAGAGAGAAACCAATGTGGTGTCAGTAAGGCCTGCTCAACTTAAGATGGGCCGGGTTAATACAGAAGATGGTGCTTTGTCTTAATGCTTACTTAGAATGCCAGGATCAAGTCATTTGGGCATCACTTGAGCATCACAATACACTAATAAACACACTCAACTTCGCTTCCAACCTTGACTTTCAAATGAACTCATTGGAGGATCAGAACAACGACATAGCTAGAACCTTCCAATGCACTTCTTGGATAAAAATGGTGCTAAGACACATCTCTCTCCCCACTTCTGGAAGAACCCATCACTATTAGGATTTATTCTGTGACCTGTGTCCTAACATCCCACCATATCCCACCCCCTCTGCTATCTCTTGGAGCAGCCACAGAGCTACTACAAATATCTGGTGGCCAAAGCAAACATCGTATGGCAGGTGGGAATCACAGTCCTCACCAATTTAAAGGAAGGGGCCAGCAGGTATGTTTTGCTAAATTCATTAGATTTTCAAGATTACAAAGGAATCTGGGATTTCTGATGAACTACTCAGATTTTTAAACACAAGCAACTGATTCCTATTTTTTAAGTATTCTAGACTCTAAGCAAACAAAACCTTCAGACTGAATACTTTGCGAGATTATTTCCTATGTTTAATTATCTTAAAAGACGTTAAAATGTTCTTAAACCCTTCTGTTGAAGACAAGCTATTACACAGAATCAACTTATCCAACTGTTATATGAAAAGAAGAAAGTCTGGCTTTGTCATTAATGTACATTCTGACATCACGTATCTTGAAGCCTGCGGCAGGAGCCTGGGCCCATGTGGGATGGCACTTGTCTGTCCACAATGTGACCAGAAGCCTCGTGTTCCTTCCAGGGAAAGGCTACATCTGTGCATATAATCTGCCTTGCTTTGTACTCAGCACTGTGGATTCTGGTTCCAGGTCCATGAGGTTTTGGACTCCCTGCTGAGGCTAATCAGAAAAATGAGCCGAGAAAAGTAAAACTTAAGCTAGAAGCTATGGTCCTAATAGACTTTGTTTAGTCTGTTTCTGGTTCTCCTATTTGTGTTTAGGAGGTCGGGGAGAGAGGAAGCAGGATGGAGGGAAGACTTAACCGGATCAGGGTGTTCCTGTACTCGCTGGCATCATGGGAGCCTTGGGCATGCAGGCTCTTAACCCTGGGACTATGGGAAGCATCTGAACACATCCATCCCATCAGGGGAGCCTGCTGCCCAGAGCATCTTCTAGCTCCACTTCAGTGAGATGCCCCCTCGTCATGATTCACAGGAGAAACTACACTGAGCTAGAAACTTGGGAGAGTAGTACTCCTAACCCACTGGAAAGCAGAGGAGAAGCACAAGCCAGTCATAGAGGTCACAAGGCACCCAAGCAATGAGAGTTTACCATCCTGCTCTGCCATTTTCTGTCCAGAGGCACGACTCTGGGGAACTCACCAAGAGTATCTGTACACATGCCCCAGCCTGTACTGCAGGGACCTGACATCTGGCGATACTGTGCAGGAGACACTGGCACCAGTTTTCACTAATATTCTTTAGTGGGCAATGCACACCAAACTTCTTAACACTGAAAAATTAAAAGGATCACTCTTCGAAATATAAAGAATTGTTTTCAGACTTGATGAAAACACTGAACGATGGACTGAGAAGATAAAATGCATTCAATTATCAAGACCTGGGAGACCACAAAAGGTGCATCCCTCAATGTTGGTTCTTTGGAGGATTCTGAAGAACAAGGTTTACAAAGACAAGGCAGGGAGAATGAAAGACAAGAAATGGAGAAGAAGAAATAGGGGAGAGGAGGACGGGGGGCTGAGGAAAACAAAGACTCAAAACTGCACCCCATGTCCAGCAGGGATCTCCATCCAGGCTGCACCAGAAGGGAAACCTCAAGCCACTGTGCATCCCCATGCCTTCTGCCTGTTCCTTTCTTAGCAGATTCCCTCTGCATCTATTTCTGTAACCTCCTCGGGCTGTTGTACCAAAAATCTGGCAGGAGGAATGATGTGCTCATTGTCACTGTGGAGTCTCTACAAAAAGGGCAGCACTGATGTTTGCAGGGTCACATCTCTGCCAGATCGGTGCCGTGTCTGGCCCATAGGTATAATGAATGACAGGTCCACACACGGCTCTTATCATTAAGCCATATCATCTCCCGAGTGCTGCCTGCACATGGAATGGAAGCTTGAGGTGTGGTTCCTGTGGGTGCACTGAGGCACCCCAGGTACCAAAGCAAACTGATAGGGCTATCTCGGGGCTTGCAGACTTTCTGGAAAAACAGTATCTACCCAACGCTTCCGAGAGCCTTGGCCCGGTGCTACTCAGCTTCCACATTTGGTCGTGTTAGATGTCCTTCAGGGACAGTATATCTTTGGTGACTGATGGAATAAATCACAAGGATCATCCCCAAAGATCTACGTGCCAATGGAAAAGAGGGTGGTGTGAAATCTGTTTCCAAAGTCTGAGAAACTGTGTCATGCCCAATAGGTT